TATGCATGGCCTGAAAGAAAAATCAAGATATAGTTTTCTTAATGTTGGTTTGGAGATACTTTACTAGGGATAAAAGGAAGGTTAGGTCTCCTGGGAAGGTAGAGATAAAAAGAAATTCCAGGCTCTTAGAAGAACAGGAAGGATAACAGAGGATAGGCTTTCAGAATTTTAGCATAAAAAAGAATTAAGAAAATAAAATCTTAGGCTTAGCACAACATCACTAACCAGAGAGCAATTCTGCTCACAACAGATGAGAAGCTGGTTATAGACAGAGGCATTGTTGCTCATCGGCCTCCTGCCTGCCATCCCAACCATGCACATCACAGTCCAGCCAACTCGCCCAAGTTTCCCGCAAATATACATATATTAATTATGTTAATCATAATTAATAATATATATTATTACATACTATTTGTGTATAGCATAAATATAAACATGTATGCTATATATTTAAAATGACTCTTCTACGCTGGAATACTTGTCATTCCTTTGTTCAACTGCTGAACATTTTTTTTTTTTTTTTTGAGACAGAGTCTTGCTCTGTCGCCCAGGCTAGAGTGCAGTGGTGCAGTCTCGGCTCACTACAACCAATGCCTCCAGGGTTCAAGCAATTCTCCTGCCTCAGCCTCCTGAGTAGCTGGAATTACAGGTGCCTGCCACTGCATCTGGCTAATTTTTATATTTTTAGTAGAGACAGGGTCTCACCATCTTGGCCAGGCTGGTCTCAAACTCTTGTGATCCATACCCGCCTTGTGATCCACACCCGCCTCAGCCTCCCAAAGTGCTGGGATCACAGGTGTGAGCCACAGTGCCCGGCCCACTTTTTTTTAAATAACAGAGTTTGAAGTTCAAGTGTTGTCTCTTCTCTAAAGCCTTTCCTGATTCCATTCACCTTCTCATCACACCACCATAACCACTTCTCCACTCATACTTGACTGTACTTTTGGAGGGCAAGAACTGTGTCTTACTAACATATCCACAATGCTTTGTAGTCCATTAACCCTTTGCAGAATGAATAAACCAATGAATAAATAAATGGATGAATACTGAGTAACTGAGCCAGGCAAGTGGCTCACACCTGTAATCCCAGCACTTTGGGAGGTCGAGATAGGCAGATCCCTTGAGGTCAGTATTTCAAGACCAGCCTGGCCAACACGGTGGAACCATTTGGAACCCTATTTCCACTAAAAATACAAAAATTAGCAGATGCCTATAATCCCAGCTACTTGGGAGGCTGTCACAAGAATTGCTTGAACCTGGGAGGCAGAGGTTGTAGTGAGCCAAGATGGTGCCACTGTACTCCAGCCTAGGTGACAGAGTGAGGCTCTCTTAAAAAAAAAAAAAATTGAGTAACTTCAGGCATACACCTTGTCCTACTGTGCTTTGCTTTACTGAGCTTTGCTTCATTTTTGCAGATATTACATTTTTTACAAATTGAAGGTTTATGGCAATCCTGCGTCAAGCAAGATGGCACCATTTTTTCCAGCAGCATGTGCTCACTTGACGTCTCTGTCACATTCTGGGCATTTTTCACAATATTTCAAAATTTTTCATTATTATTAAATCTGTTATGATGATCTGTGATCAGTGATCATTGATGTTACTCTTGTAACTGTTTTGGGGGCACCACAAACCACATCCATGTAAAACAGCAAACTTAACTGATTAATATTGTATGTATTCTGACTGCTCCAGTGATTTGCTATTCTCCCGTCTCTTTCCCTCTCCTCAGGCCTCCCTGCTCCCTGAGACAAAATAATATTAAAATTAGGCCAGCTGATGACCCTACAATGGCCTCTCAGTGTTCAGATGAAAGGAAGAGTTACATATCTCTCACTTTAAATCAAAAGCTAGAAATGATTATGCTTAGTGAGGAAAGCATGTCGAAAGCTGAGACAGACCAAAAGCTGAGATAGGCTAAAAGCTATATTTCTTGCACCAAACAATCGACTTGCATACATAGAAGAAAAGTTCTTAAAGGAAATTAAAGGTGCTATTCCAGTGAACACACAAATGATAGAAAAAATAGCTTTATTGCTGGTAGGAAGAAAGTTTGTGTGGTCCAGATAAACAATCAAACCACCCACAGCATTTCCTTAAGCCAAAGTCTAATCCAGAGCAAGGTCCTAACTCGCTTCAGTTCTATGAAGGCAGAGAAAGGTGACAAAGCTACAGAAGAAAAGTTTGAAGCTGGCAGAGGTTGGTTCGTGAGGTTTAAGGAAAGAGGCCATCTTTGTAACATAAAAGCATAAAAGTACAACATGAAGCAGCAAATGCTTATGCAGAAGCTGCAGCAAGTTATCTATAAGGTCTCGCTCATCTATCTAGATCTTCCTTCATCACCTTCCTAGATGATCTATCTAGAAAATGTGATCCACCTTCATCATTGATCCTCTAGGTAGATCACTTATGAAGGTGGCTCCACTAGACAGATTTTTAATGCAGACTAAACCTGTTACTGAAAGAAGGTGTCATCTATCATTTTCTTAGCTACAGGGGAAAAGTTAATGCCTGGTTTCGGATCTTCAAAGGACAGGCTGACTCTTGTTGGAGTCTAATGCAGCTGTTGACATTAGGTTGAAACCCATGTCCATCTTCCATTCCAAAATTTGCAGAAAGCTTAAGAATTATACTGTATCAGCTGGTCACGGTGGCTCACGCCTGTAATCCCAGCACTTTGGTAGGCTGAAACCGGTGGATCACTTGAGGTCAGGAGTTTGAGACCACCCTGGCTACCATGGCAAAACCCTGTCTCTACTAAAAATACAAAAATTAGCCAGGTGCAGTGGTGCATACTAGTCCCAGCTACTCAGGAGGTTGAGGGAGAAGAATGGCTTGAACCTGGGAGGCAGAGGTTGCAGTGAGCTGAGATCGCACCACTGCCCTCCAGCCAGGGCAACGGACTGAGACTCCATTTCAGAAAAAAAAAAAAAAAAAAAAAAAAAAAAAAAAAAAAAAGACTGAATCTACTCTGTAAATGCTCTATATATGGAACAATAAAGCCGGGATAATGGCACATCCATCTGTTCACAGTATGGTTTACTAAATATTTTAGGCCCACTGTCCAGGAAAAAAAGATTCCTTTCAAAATATTACCACTCATTGACAATGCACCTAATCACCCAAGAACTCTGATAGAGATCTACAGGGAGATCATGGTTGTTTTCATGCCTGCTAACACAACAACCATTCTGCAGTCCGTAAGTTAAAGAGTAATTTTGACTTTCAAGTCTTATTATTTAATAAATACATTTCATAAGGCCATAGAAAGTGATTCCTCTGACGGATCTGGGCAAAGCAAACTGAAAACCTGGAAAGGATTTACCATTCTAGATGGTAGATCTAAGAGCATTCATGATTCATGAGAGGAGGTCAAAATTTAACAGGAGTTTGCAAGAAGTGGATTCTAACCCTCATGGATGACGTTCATAGGTTCAAGACATCAGTGGAGGGAGGAACTACATATGTGTTGAAAATAGCAAGAGAACTAAAATTAGAAGTGAAGCTTGAAGATGTAATCAAATTGTTCTGCTTTCATAATAAAATTTGAATGGATGACGAGTTGCTTCTTATGAATGAGCAAAGAAAATGGCTTCTTGAGATAGAATCTAAACTTAGTGAAGATGCTAAGAACATTGATAAATGTCAACAAGGAATTTAGAATATGACATCAACTTAGTTGTTAAAATAGCAGAAGAGTTTCAGAAGATTGACTCTAATTTTGAAAAAGGTTCTATTGTGAGGAAAATGCTATCAAACAGGGGCCTATGACCTCTTGAAATTATCCCTCAGGCAAAGAATATTTATTTTAAAAATTTTAAATGCTATCAAACAGTACTGCATGTTACAGAGAAATCTTTCATGAAAGGAAGAGTCCATCAATGCAGAAAAATTCATTGTTATTTCAAGAAATTGCCACAGCCATCTCAACCAGCAACCACCATCCTGATCAGTCAATAGCCAGCAACATCAAGGCAAGACCCCGTTGGCAAAAAGATTGACTTGCTAAAGCCTTAGATAACCATTAGCATTTTTTAAGCAATAAAGTATTTTAAAATTAAGGTATGTGTAATTTTTTCAGACATAATGCCATTATTGCACACTTAAAACACTATGATATACTACTGCAAAGATAACTTTTACATGCACTGGGAAACCAAAAATATCATGTGACTCATTTTATTGCAACATTCATTTTATCATGGTAGTCTGGAACCTAACCCGTAATATCTTCAGGGTATGCCTATAATTATTTGAGAACCCTCTATCTCAATAATCCCAATAATCCTGGAAAATATATCTAGACATGGAGGGTAAGAGTCAAGTTAACCAGTAATAAAGGTTTGGGTCAGTAGAAACAAAACATGTCAATTTTCAGTATAATGAAACTAGAAAAGCCTAAAAGAAACCAGTGCTTTGAATCTATGCCAAGATTACAGTATGATGCAAAGCTGCATATTTGTAATTTATGTAACTATCATTATAGTATAGGCAGGACCTAGAGATCTGGACCAGCTCAAAGAATAAGTAAATAAAAACTCCGAATCCTAGGGAAACTGTCTGATTATAGCTTTAGAAAGTTACCTTTAATATGAACTGAAATCAAATCTCATAGCAGTCTGTGCCACACTCTTGCTAAAACATTCTTACTGGGTTCAGTTGGAATGTGTCTTTCCCCAACCCTTCTCCTCTTTAAACTTCTCTCTCAGTTTGAGACCTACAGCCCACAAATAACCAGTCTTTCCTGACCTATCACACACAACCCAAATCTTTCTACCATGCACTCTACAGCTTAGACAAATCCCCACCTTTCTTTTCTTAGTATGGCTTATTGGCCTAGCTGGAAGCCAATTCTTATATCTGTGTAGCATTAATTATAAGAAACATAAAAATAGTCCTAGTCATTCCAAATTAATGCTGTGAGAAAGGTCTCTACAGACAAAAAACACAAGCTTCAAAAAAGTGACAATATTTTCATACATATTTTCTTCGATACTCACTTGGGAGGGCATAAGACTTCTTCAAGAAATTCCTCAATCTTATTTACATCCGTTTTGACTTCACTGTTGAACGTTATAAATGGTGGGTGGGTCCCGGGAGCCAAGTTCTGCAGGTCTGCAGGCTTCCTGTTGGGCAAAATATTGGTCAAAATCAGATCATTTTTTGCACTAAAACAGCAATAATTCTTTAAATTCTCAAAGTGGGCCGGGCACGTTGGCTTGCATCTGTAATTACAGCACTTTGGGAGGCCAAGGTGGGAGACTGCTTGAGGCCAGGGGTTTGAGACCAGCCAGGGCAACATGGTGAGATCCTGTCTCTACAAAATATAAAAAAGCCAGGCATGGTGCTGTGTGCCTATAGTCCCAGCTACCAGGAAGGCTGAGGTGGGAGGATCACTTGAGCCTGGGAAGTTGAAACTGTAGTAAGCCATGATCACACCACTACACTCCAGCCTGGGCAACAGACAGACCCTGTCTCAAAAAGAAAACAAAGAAATTGTCCGGGCGCAGTGGCTCATGTCTGTAATCCCAGCCATTTGGGAGGCCAACGCAGGGGGATCACCTGATGTCAGGAGTTCGAGACCAGCCTGGCCAGCATGGTGAAACCCCATCTCTACTAAAAATACAAAAAATTAGCCGGGCATGGTGGCATGTGCCTGTAGTCCCAGCTACTTAGGTGGCTAAGGCAGGAGAATCACTTGAACCCGGAAAGCAGAGATTGCGGTGAGCTGAGAACCTGCCACTGCACTCCAGCCTCGGTGACAGTGCGAGACCCTGCCTCAAAAAAAAAAGAAAAGGCTTGGCATGGTGGCTCATGCCAGTAATCCTAGCACTTTGGGAGGCCAAGGTGGGCGGATCACAAGGTCGGGAGTTCGAGATCATCCTGGCCAACATGGCAAAACCCTGTCTCTACTAAAAATACAAAAATTAACTGGGCATAGTGGCATGAGCCTATAATCCCAGCTACTCGTGAGGCTGAGGTAGGAGAATCGCTTGAACCGGGGAGGTGGAGATTACAGTGAGTCGAAATCGTGCCATTGCACTCCAGCCTGAGTGAGAGAGCAAGATTCCGTCTCAAAAAAAAAAAAAAAAAAAACAAAAAAGATAAGAAAAGAAAAATTATCAAAGTGGTTCTAATCAAGCCTCTTGGGCAGGCTGGGTACAGTGGCTCATAACTGTAACCTTAGCACTTTGAGAGGCCAAGGCAGGAGGATTGAGTCCAGGAGTTGGAGTAAGACCAGCCTGGGCAACATAGTGAGACCTCATCTCTATAAAAAAAATTTTTTTAATTAGCTGGGTGTGGTGGCATGTGCCTGTAGTCCCAGCTACTTGGGAGGCTGAGGTGGGAGGATTGGTTGAACCCAGGAGGTTGAGGCTGCAGTGATAAAAATTGCTTGGATATTGATTTAAACAAACCAACCAAAGATAAAAAGATATTTCAGAGATAACCAGGGAAATCTCAAATTGTACACTAGGAACTGCAGGAGATAACAAAATATCTACCCTGTTTGAAGACATACACTGAAGTAAGTAGGGGTGAAATGACATGGTGTCTAGCATTTACTTTAAAACATTTCAGCAAAGAAAATAAAACAGGGACAAAACAAATGTGGCAAAATCTTGATAAATGAATCAACATGGTAAAACCCTGTCTCTACTAAAAATACAAAAATTAGCTGGGCGTCGTGGTGCACACCTGTAGTCCCAGCTACTCGGGAGGCTGAGGCAGGAGAATTGCTTGAACCTGGAAGGTGGAGGTTGCAGTGAGCCGAGATTTTACCACTGCACTCTAGCCTGGGCAACAAAGCAAGAATCTCTCTCAAAAAAAAAAAAAAAAAAAAATAGAATGCTCTTTAATCTTATCATATATAAATTGTGGTTACGTGGAAAACAATTTTCTCACTCCAAAGTCATAAACATATCCATTACCATTTTTTTTTTGAGGCAGAGTCTCACTCTGTCACCCAGGCTAGAGTGCAATGGTGCGATCTTGGCTCACTGCAACCTCTGCCTCCCAGGTTCAAGCGATTCTACTGAGTAGCTGGGATTACAGGTGCCTGCCACCATGCCTGGCTAATTTTTGTATTTTTAGTACAGGGTTTCACCATGTTAGTCAGGCTGGTCTCGAACTCCAGACCTCAGGTGATCCACCCGCCTCGGACTCCCAAAGTGCTGGGATTACATGGGTGAGCCACCATGCCTGCCTCCATTAACATTTTTATAACTAACAGTCAATTAAATGCCTAAGTGTAAGGTAATAAGTGTGTTTTCACAAGTAGTTTTTCAAAGAACCGGGTAGATTAAAGAGGAGAAGGAGGTCTCCATGCTTTAAAAACAAAACAAAACAAAAAAACCCACATGGGTAGGTGTGGTAGGGCACATAGGACAAAATAAATGATACCCATTACGTCTATAATTAATTATGAAAGCTTTTAAGCTATCTAAACAAAAAGATTCTTAATGTTTAAAATTTTTATTCAATCTTTTTTAGAGACAGGGGTGTCTCTCTCTCTCTCTCTCTCTCTCTCTCTCTCTCTCTCTCTCTCTC